TCAGCTGTAAGTGACCTGGGCTTGATGCCTGTGAAATATCCAGGGAAATCAGTTTTAGACTTGAACACAGAGACTCAGCAGCACGTTGGAAGTGTAGATGTGGATCTTGGGAAAGGTCAGGGCTGGAGGGCTGGGTTAGGGGGTCATCACAGAGTCATAGAGGCCACTTGGGTTTGGGTGCTATTGACTGAGGTGGTACAGAGTGGTCTGATGGCCAAACCTGGGGCTAAAATGCAGTTAGCTAGAGAGAAGGTGAGCCCCAGAGTGGGATATCATGGAGGCCCAGGAAGGGGAGAGAGTTCTCAGCAGTGGGAGTTGATCCAGAGAACCGAGTGAGAGAGGGTTGGAGAGGCTGGGCTTTGCACCAGGCAAGTTTCCACATCCTTTTGAGCGTATGATCTCTCTCTCTCTCTCCCCTCCCCTCTCTCCCTCCCTTTCATTTTTTTTGTTTGTTTCTCTATGTGTCTGTCTTTATTTATTCCTGATCTATCTCTGCATCAGTCTGTCTACTTCAGCACCCACAATGTAGGTGTTCAGTACATGTTTGCTGAACTATACAGGGGAGCACGGGTGGGACTCTTCTCTGGTTTCCTTGTGAGGAATTGTCATTATTCATCTTACTGTTCCTGGTCAGATATTAAAACAGGAGTCACTGGCATTCTAGGACTTCTAGTTCCGGGCTGCATGATCCAAGGCTGTCCGAGCAAGTGGCTAAACTTGGGGGCCCCAACCCAAAAGGCTGAGGTTCTCCATGGGGTCTTAGTCCTAGAGAAGCCGCGGAAAGGAGCTCTGGAGAGAAGCTCAGTTGGGAGACCTAAGCTGGGGCAGGCAGAATTGAGGCGAACTAAGGCTCAGGGCCCCGGAGTCTAGGAGAGACGGCTGCAGCCACCAGATGGGGATGAGGTGGGATGATGGTGCCACCATGTGGCAGACACTGAACATGCATGTTCTCAGTTGATTCCAGATTTCAGTATCCTCTGAGGTTGGTATTTTTATTCCCATTATATTCCCAAATAAAGCCTCAAATTAGGTACAAAAATTGTCCAGGTAGTAAGATACAGAGGCAGAATTCAGACCCAGGTGGGTGTGACTGCAGACCTTGTGTGTATTTTGACGCTACGGGAATTGGTTCAGGCACTGGGACGCCCAGAACCCAGTGGTGGGGGACCCTTCAGGCTCCTGCTGTGATGAGCCAGGCTGGGCTGGAGTTGCTGAGATGGTGATGAACATGGAGCTCAACTTGGGCTGGTGGCAGCTTGCTGGCAGGAGGCTAAGTGGCAAGTCAGAGGCATCAGAGCCAAAGGCCTGGGAAATTGGCCCATGTGACAATCGACCAAACAGAAAAATGAGCAAAATGCATACAGGCAATTCATAGAAGAGGCAATTCAAATGGTAAAAATCAAACCAAATCAAAGCAAAACCAAACATATAAAAAGACTCTTAGCTTCATTATAGTAAGTGGAGCCATGCCTATTAAAATAAAAATTTACAAACCTATCAAAGTGGCAAAGATTTTAAATATGACAGTACCAAATATTGGCGAGAATACGGTGTTAAGTGAGTTTACACATTGCTGGTGGGAATCTAAACTGCTGTAACTGTTTTGCAGAACAGTTTGGCAACACCAGCAAAGTTAAGGGTGTGCAGACCCTCTGAGTCCGTAATTCCACTCCTAGACTGAGGACCAAGAGAAACAAGCACATGTGCACCAGGAGACATTTAGAAGAATATTTATAGCAGTGCTGGATATTGTAGCAAAAACTGAGAAACGACTCAAATGTCCGTCAAAGGGAGAATACATACATGAATTACAATTGATTTGTACAGTGAAACACCACACAGCAGTGAAGATAAATGGCCCTTAACCACATGTAACAATAGAAAGGAGTTTCCCAAACATAAGGCTGACTGGAGAAAAAAGCAAATTGCTGTACACAGTATGATTCCATTTATGTCAAGTTCAAAACCTTATAAAACTAAAGAATATGCACATGCAATAAATCTCGAAGGATAACAAGGGAATAATAAGCACAAAATTCAGGGTAGTGGCTCCTTCAGCAGAAAAAAGCAGAGGTATGAGATCAAGAATGACATTCAGGACCTTCCTGGTTTTGTTTTATTCCAGATATTAGAAGTTCTGGATGTTGGGTACACACACACACACACACACACATATATAGGTGTTCATTTTATTATTTTTGATACCATATAAATTTGTTACATATATATTCTCTTTTGAAGGGATGATGTATTTCATAGTTAATAAATTACTAAAAGGGATCTGGAGCATCTAAAACAAATTAGAAGGAAAGCCAGACAGTGGGCAGTTGCACTGACAGGACACCACAGATCCTTGTCTCTGGGGAGAGAGGGGACCAGGGTCCACATCAGGCTGGGGTCAGGGTCACTTTCCTGGGGTCAGGAATCTGTGGAATCCATGTTTCCAAGCCGGCTGCTGCTCCAAAGCTGCCTCTTCCTTTGGTCACAATGTCTCCTGCATCTGCAGTACAATTTTCTTTACCTTGACTTGTCTAAAGACTGTCCTCAGTCTTAGGTCAAATTTTTCTCTCTTGCATTTATCCTCCCTTTATTGAAAGCACACTACATGCACAAGCTGTGGTCCCCAGACTTACAGTGCCCCTAGGGGGATGGCAGGCAGAGACAGATAAACCTGGGAGCAGAGAATCACACCCCAGGGGTGCTGCTCCAAATTTCTGGTGCATAAAGTCAGTGTGGACCTTGTTAAAACGCAGATTCCAGGCCTCCCCAGAGAGTCTAGTTGAATAGGTCTGGGTGTGGCCCAGGAATGTGCTTTGAAGAAACACGTAGTGAATTTGGTGCTGCTGGTCCACAGATGCACTTGGAGAAACAGGGCCATTCAGGGTGACAAATGCCGCCATGACAGCAGAAGTGCTTGGGTGTGGGTTCCAAGGATGGACACCTCCCTGAGCTGGGGTGTGAGTGTTAAGTCAGGGTGGCTTCTGGAAGGTCTCCCTTTGGAGTGTCCTTACCAGAAGTCATGTTGTGTAATGGCCATTTGTGGACGAGTCACTTGCCCCTGCCCCTCTGCTCCAGCTCAGGGCCTGGCTCAGGAGGCAGGAGATTGTGCTCAGTGGGTTTGGTGAGCTGCAGTCTGGGCTGGTGGCACAGGCCCTTGGGGACCGTCCACTTCTTGGCCTCTCTAGTGCGATCAGATAGGCCCATCTCCCACCAGGTGCTGGGGAGAAGGTCTGGGTCTAGTTTGGATCTGACCAGCATTCCCAACTGGGTGTGGGAGGCAACTCCATCAGCATCCAAGATGAGATTAGGGAGCTGGACTGACTGAGACGTTCCCCCATTAGACACCCCGGAGCTCCTTCAATGCAGCCTTGGATGGTGCTGGAAAGAGGAAGGGAACAAACTGGACGAGGCTAAGAGGTTTCTTAGTTTGGCGATGAGAGGGCTGCTTCCTGTTTCTAGGCCCAGAGCACCCCTCCTTCCTTCCCTGGATCCAAGTGGGGCCCCTCTCCAAGGGCCTGTGACTCCAACACCTGGCATGAACCCAGTCCTGCCGGGGCTGCCTGGCTGCTGTTTGCTCTCGTTTATTAAGTACATCCAGGTGAGTTTTATTGCGGACAGTTCCCTGAGCTACTGTTTCCACATTTGTCTCTTTTGAGTCTGAGATTGCCAAAAGCCTTCACAGCTAATGGACCTTACAGCTCCCAAGAGCACTGAAGGGAGGCCCAGAACTCAGTGGGGGTAACTAGTCAAACAAAATGCAGACTCTGGGGAGCTGAGTGGCAGGAGGTAACTGTAGGGACAGGAGCCTGAGGCCTGTGGCAGGTGTGGGAGCAGCAGCACAGGCCTCTCCTCACCTCACCTCGCCCTGGTCCTTTCCTGCCTCACCCCTCCCCCTCTGGCCCCTAGTGAGGGAAGGTCTCCATGGCCCTTGGTGGCAGGCCCTCAGGCAGGCGGGTGTCCTGGGGCACCTGAGGAGCTGTGAGCTCACCTATCAAGTTACTGCCCCGTTTTCTCTAAACAAGTCTCACCTACTCACCCCTGCAGGAGGCTGGGGGCTGAGCTCAGGTGTCGAGTCTCAGAAGGCAGTGTGATGCCTTTTCAAAACCATGGGCTTTGATGCTAGACCATTTGGGTTCAAATCCCAAACCAACTACCTTTGAAGTCTGTGATCTGGGGCAAGTCAATGCACCTTTCTGTGTCTCAGTTTCTTCATCTGTAAATTGAAGATAATAGTAACACTGACCTTAGAAGGTTATTATAAGGATTAATGGTATAATAACGTGTGCACTGCATATAATAGCACTGACCTCAGAAGGCTGTTATAAGCACTAATGGTATAATAATATATGCACGGTGGTAGCCAGCGTGTATCAGGCACTCAGTAAGCGGAAGCTGTTATGCCAAAAGCAGGTGTGACTGGGGCAGAACTGGGAAGCTGAAGTCTATCCGGCATTCATGTGCCTGGATTTGTTTCTCTCGGGGGGGGGGGCAGAGAGAGCAAGGCCTCTGGGGAAGCAGCCCTCCTCCTGTGGGGGAGCAGGAGGGAGGAAACACATGGACCCCAGCTTGCTGCTAACCCAAGGAGGGGCGGAGGGAGCCAACATTTGCTAAGCCTCTCTTCAGGATCTAGCATCACCTGCTTTATCTCTTTAAATCCTAACACCTTGCTGGCAGATGAGGAAATAAAAACTCAGAGAGGCTGAGTGACCAATGCAAGTGAGAGGGAGCTGGGATGGGAGCTTAAGGATGTGAGGTTCCTGCTCTTTCCACTGCTGTTCACTTAGTGGATGAACAGGGCCTAGCCCCTGGAAGCCCAGCTGACGTCTGCTCTCTAAGAAGCCCATGGGAGGTCACTGATCTCTTTGGAGCCAAAGGGTAAGTCCCCAGAGTCACTGAGGATGCAGGGCTGGGCTGTGTAGGGTGCCTGAGTCTGTCTCGTGACTGTCAAGAGCATGCGCTCTTCCAGGACACACAGGGCTGTGCCCTCTCTCCATCTGCAGGTGGACGGTGTTCTGTGCTTGGCCGACATCCTGACCGACGACAGCCACTCGGAGGCCACGCGGGCTGAGGCCGCAGCCGTGGTTGCCCAGGTCACCTCCCCACACCTGCCCTTCACCCAGCACCTCAGCAGCTTCCTGGAGAGCATGGAGGAGATCGTGACTGCTCTCGTTAGTGAGTTGTCTGGGGTGGGAGGGGACGCTGGGTGAGGGGGCCTTGTCACAGTGGTCCTCAGGAAGGAACAGGAGGGTCTCCCTGCCCCCCACTCACTGCACCCCACATATCTCCTGCATGGGAATCACACCAGCTGAAATCCCAGCTGTGAAGTGTCAGAGTCAGGCTTTAAAGAGCTCTGTTGTCAAGTCTCCTTGAATTGAGGTCAGGTTGGGATTCACTGGCCTTTCAGCAAGGAGACCAGGACAAGCCCCAGGGAAGAGTGGGGCCTCAAGTGTTGAGACCTTGACCAGATCTTTGGCCAGAGAGACTCTGGTGGGCTTTGCTCCTGAAATCTCAGTCTATTATACCCAGCAAATGTGGCAGCAAAGACTGGGGGCAAGCGGCTCCTCAGAGAAGCCCACTCACACGGCCGGCTGCCTGCAATCCCACCACCGTCCTTGCTTTGTGGGGCCCTGAGAGCTTTGACTGTCCTATTCCCCTGTTCCGACATGTGTGCTCTGGGGGGGAGAAGCAGAGCCCGGAATTACAAAATACACTCTTCCTGCAGTTTCCCCTCCCCAAACTGCAGAAACTGGAAGGGCTCATCTGGATGACAGTCCTCAGGACGCTTGTTTTACAAATCACGTCCTCTCTTTTATAAGTGCTGGTGATGGTCTGCATTTCTGCTTCGGTCCCCGTCTCTGTCACTGTCTCTGTCTCTGTATCTTATTGAAACTGAATGAAAATGGATTCCATCAGATAATGTAGGGTTAACACTTGGCGCTACCAAACCTAGGGCTGGGAGTATCTGGAATAGCACAGACTTAGGGGCAGCACAGACCAGTGGACTTGCAGTCCGAACACTTGGGCTTGGTTTTTGGTCTCTGATTCATCCATTCAACAAACAGCGATTGACCACTAACCCTGTGCTGGCCTGTGTGAGACGCCGCAGCTCACAAGCTGTGTCACACCGCAAAGCTCACCGTGCAGTTTTCCTACCAGACAAAACAAGGGCTCGGACCTCAGGGGTCATGCTAGCTCTAGAATTTTTAGATCTGCAAGTACTTTGCACCTAGGAGGACTCAGTTAAGTTGACTTTATGGCTAATTCTAGTGCCTGGGGCCGTGGCACTCACAGGCCAAGCTGGGAGAAATCAACTTGTCAACATCCACACTTATTCAAAGTTGAGAAAACACAGAAGCCCATTGTGGAAAGTCTTGGCTGGAGGGAACTCAAGAGACCATAAAGTGTAATGCCCATTCATTCTGTAAGAGAAGAAACTTAGGCCCAGAGGGCTTGAGGAGCCTTCTCAAGGCCACACAACTGTGTTAGGATTCACTTCTGCCAGGAGAGACGTACTCAGTCACACGCCAGAGTCAGGCGGGTAATACACATGAGCTGAAGGGAAGGAAGAAGAGAATCAGGAGGTTTGAGTCCTATACTGAATTTATTTATTTAATATTTTTGAGCTGTCTTATTTTGTACATTTTTATTTCTTTTTTTTGTTTTTGTTTTTGAGGGGAGGAGATAATTAGGTTTTTATTTATTTATTTAAATTTTTTTAATTTAAAATAGTTTTTATATTTATTTATTTTCTATTTTCCTTCTTTTATTAATGTAATTTATTTTTTATTTTTTTAACATTTTTTACTCAGTTATAATCATTTTACAATGTTGTGTCAATATTTTTATTTTCTTAAATTTATTTTTAATGGAAGTACCAGGGATTGAACCTAGGACCTCGTGCATGCTAAGCACATGCTCTACCATTGAGCTTGCCTTTTCCTCCCCCCATATTGAATTTAAAAACATGTGCAGTGACTGAAGAGGGGCAGTCGCTGATAAACTCCAGTTGATTATTGCCATGTAAGACAGGCCAATTAAAAAAAAAAGACAAAAATCCTAAGTTTTATAGAAAATCTCCCAATTTATAAATGATTGCAAACAATAAATCAATATATATATTCCAAACGACTTTTCATTATTGTTCTGTGTCCCTTCCTCCTCCTTTGCCTGGGCTGGATTTCTCCCTGGAGAAGAGGAGTCTCCCTGTTTATTTCACCGTGATGAAGATACATTGTGGAGTCTGCTCTGAGAGTCAGCAGATGGGATATATCTTCTGGGCAGGAAGCCAGGGCTCTGTTCTTTGGTGGGAAATAGTCCTCCAATTTCTTGCCATTCCCTGGAAGCATTTATAAATGAGTCACTGGAATCCTCAATTTAATCTTCCTAACGCACACCAGGTGACTCAGACTGTAGTTCAAATAAATGTGCATCAAAATTAAAAGGCACTTAGCTGCTGGTGATAATAATTGCTGCGTCAGCAGCAATGGTGACTGCATAAGAATGAGAATAGGTGTTTGGACTTAGAAGAAATCATGCAGAAAAGCGGGCCAGTAAGTTGTGTAGTCTCACTCCCATACCCTGGATGCAGGGGAAGTGGCCTGGAAGGGATTGGCTGACCCTGGTGGTTCCCACAAAGTCAGAGGATAAGGCAGTTATTGGAAAAGGGGAAATCATCGAGTTCTTAATTCCTTGGCTAATCTGCTGGCCCAGCCCAGGAGGGGCCAGATCAAGATTCTCGGTTGTTTAGTGGAGTGGTCACACCAGAGCTGTGGGGAGCAGTGCTGCCCAGAGGCAGGCATTGCCCTCCTCCTTTAATAGAAATGAAGCTAGAGCTGCAAGAGCATCCCTGGGGATGAGGCAAAGAGGCCTAGAGACAAGAGGCAGCCTGGCGAGTAGGAAGGATAAGGACTTCGGAGTTAGGTGGACCTGGATTTGATTCTAGGCCCCTCAGATTACCATCACTCCTCAGCACCACAATTTGGGGAAAAATCGTTTAACATTTGAATCCTCAGTCCCTTCATCTATAAAATTTGATAAGCAGTTGGGTTGTTGTGAGAATGGAATGACCTAATGAGATGAAGAATATACAGCAGTGCCCAACCTGGAGTAAACACTCCATCAGTGCAGCCGCTGCTTTGTCTACCAGCTTCTCTGGGTTTCAGCTCCTATGTCGGTAAATGGAGCAACCCTCTGCTGCTCTAAGGATGCTCAGAAATAAATGGCGCAGTGCAAGGCACACTGCAGGGGGTTCAACTAATGCTATTTTCTGTCCCTTTATCGGTAGGGACCAGAAACTGCAATCACTGGAAGGTGCCAGGAGGTGCCAGTTTTAATATCAGAACCTGGAAGTAGACTCTTTGGAAGCAAGAGCTAGAAACGAGGATAGAGCATAGCTCAGCTCTGCCCTGGAAACTTTCCTCCTCTCTTATGGCTATTTTCTTAAAGCGTGGCTTCTCTTCCTGTATTTTCATAGAGCTGTTATCGGTAGAAGGGGTCCTGAACCCAGGAAGCACTTTGATTGATGGTCAAGGTGGAGCTGAGGGTCAGAAGTCAGGGCCACTGGGACGGGTGGGCAGCACCAGGAACCCTTTTGTGTCTTCTCTGAGGTAGGAGTCCATTCTAGGTCATGTGGAGCCCATGGAGGAAGATGTTAGGTGGGGGAGGGATGCAGGGGCTGGGGGTGGTCCTCTTCTCCTTAAAGACCCTCAATTCAATTACGGAAGGTGAGTGGGTGAATGTGCTTAGGACTGGGTCAGAGAGAAAGAGCCTGACATTCAGGGGCTCGGTGTAGGACTTTCTGCAGTGAGGTGACACTTATCCTGGGACCAAAAGAAACTCCCGAGGCTTTGCTGATGGCAGCTGAAGAGGTAGAGTCTTTAATTTCAGCTTCTTTCTCAAGGCAAATTCAGCAGCAGTCTAGTGTACATGACTGGAGACACTCATGGACTAGGTGCTCTTTCCTGCTGCAGGGCCTTTGTACATGCTGTTCCTTTGGCTTGGAACATGCTCTTCCCCCAAATACCCCCATGATTGCTTCATTTTCCCCCTAAGGTCTCAGTTGTAAAGTCACATTTCAGGGAGAACTTCCTCATGTACCCGGTGGGCCTCTAGTTATTCTCTGTCTTAGAACCTGTTTATTTTCATCCTTACATTTATTAGAAATTGCAATTATTTATATTGACTTTTTAAAAGCTCATTTTCTTTTGCCCACTATTAGGATGTGAGCTTAACAGAAACAAAACCTGATCTTTTTTGTTCATCAGCCCATCTGAAAACACCAGGGTGCCTGGAACCCAGTGTTCACTTAGTAAATTCTTGTTGGATGAAGGCGTGATTGGGACTCATGCATCAGGTTTCAAATGCCAGCCCTGCTACTTCTGTAGATAGATAAGCTTCCCTCTCCAGTAACTACTTTCTTCATCTGTAAAATGGGAATGATAACACCTGCCCAGATTTTCTCCCAGAGCTATTGTGGGAACCAGATGAGGTAGCTGACATGAAAGCACTTGACAGTGAAGCTGTTTTCTTCCCCTTCACCATCCAGAACTGTGCCAAGAGGCCTCGTCCGGGGAAGTCTTCCTGCTGGCCTCTGCGGCCCTTGCCAACATCACCTTCTTTGACACGATGGCCTGTGAGATGCTCCTGCAGCTGAATGCCATCCGCGTCCTCCTGGAGGCCTGCAGCGACAAGCAGAGGGTAGACACGCCTTACACCCGGGACCAGGTGAGCAGCGCAGGAGGGACCAGCCCAGAACCTGTCACCATGAAGACAGAGGGCAGGAGGCCAGGGCTGAGGTTCCGGGGAGGGGCAGCATGGCCTGCAGCACACAGTCAGTCCTGGTAGTCGAGTTTCATCTGAAGGAAAAGGAATATGTTCTCAACATGCCTTGTTGCCTTTGGAGCATCTGCACGAGCCCACTTCCCACCCCTTTTGCCCATCCCAACCACTACAGGGGTTCCTCCATCTCCATCCAGACCTATCTGTCCTGGGGGGCAGAGAGGCATCATGGGAAAATCCCTAGACTCTGTCCAGCCATCTGGGAGCCTGATTGTCTGATATTGTACCGGCAGCGAGTTTCTTTCTATTTCTGACACAGGGTCTTGGAGCAGAGCCTAGATTCGGGTCTCAATCACTGTATCAGTCTCAATTTTTTTTGTTGTATATTTGAGTTCCACATAAAGTTTTGTTTGGAGAAAAAGGATTTTACTACTAAATGTGTTTGAAAACATTGAGTGAGGGGGTTTTCAAGGGCTTTTGAGCTCTAAGGTTGTGGAATTCTATGCTGTCTCATCTCTGCTCTGCTCAGCCTCCCATTTCCCTACCAGAGGTGGGGGCGGTAGATCTGGAGGTTTTAGTTCTCTGAAAATTCCTCAGGGTGCCTGAGCTCAATGTTGGATGATCCCGCAACCCCCAACCCAGTTGACCCCTGTCGGCACCCTGGCCCCCCAGCCCCACCTGTGTCTTCCAGCCTCATCACCCAGTCAGAGCTGCCACAGCCTCACTGCAGCTCCTACCCCAGCAACCCCGGGAAGGCCTTCCCGGATGGATGGCTTTCCCTGGGAGACTCCTTTCCTTGAAGGCCACACCTCACAATGCAGTGTTGACTTTTCCGATGATACTTATTCCTTTCCAGTTATTTCGTTGTCAGTTTATCCCCCTGAGGGCATGGCCCACGTGCTGTACTCTCCTAGGATTTCTTCAGGCCTCTAGCCCAGAGCAGGTACCCAGGGCAAAATTCTTTAAATGTTTGTTTGGGACACAAAAGGGAAGAAGCAGGCTGGAACTTCATCAGTTGTCTCTGTCATTAGAATCACCCGTGGAAGGGCAGCCGACCAGAGACACTCCCATTAAGAGAGAATTGTCTAGTATATAAGCATTTGTATAAGAGGGTTCTGTTAATACAGTGAGGCTGGTAATATCTGCCCCATTTTACAGATAAGAATACTGAGGCTCTAGAGCGTGTCCCCCCAATCATATGGCTGGCAAGTAGCTAGCCAGCAATAAATCCTGGCCTAAACTGGACTTTGATCTTTGACTTTCATCTGCTCCCATCTCTGAAAATGAACAGGAGATAATGAAGCTCTGGGATCAGAGAGACTGAGTGTCAATCATGTCTGGGGCCACTTATTAATTGGGTGACTTTGGGCAAGTCATAGCCTCTTGGACGTTGGTTTTCTCATCTATTAATTAGGTCCTTGTAGGGTCATTGTGAGGGTGAGTGAAACAATATGTGTAAAGGACCTGATACAGTGCTTTGTCCCTGAGTCCTTAGTAAGTGGTGAATATCATTTTTCAAACTTGATGTTCCAAGGAAGAGCACAGATAGTGAATTAGCCAAAATCCTCAGCTTGGCCTTCCAAGCCTTGCATGAGATGGTAACTCATGCAACTTCTTTTCCAGTTTAATCTCACTTCTTTGGACAAGCCCCTCACAGAGACAGGGTATGGCAGTACGGACTGATGAGTGGTGGCCCACAGGGCTGGCTGTTGGCTGCTTGGCTCTTGAGGGGGAGTCACAGTCCTTGGCTGTGGGAAATGGGGCTGGAGAGCTCACTCTGCACAATCTGCCTTGCTCCTTCTCTTCTCTTCTTCAGCCGGATTGGTCCAGGTGCTGTGTCTCTTACCTCCCTGACACAATTTAGGTCCCTTTGCCTTTAAGTGCCTCTCCTGTAGCTAGTTCTGGTCATTCCATACAAGATCCAGTAGTGAGACGCTAAGTACAGGGATTTGGGGATCAGATGACCTGGGTTCAAAGCTTCTCTGCTGTATAATCATGCAACTTTGGGCAATTTACTCCGAGCCTCACTTTTCTCATCTGTGAAAGGGTTGAATAATACATACTTCACAGAGATGAAATAAGAATTGAATAAATGAATGAATACAAACTCTTGGTGCAGTTCCTCGTGCAGAGAAACTATTAAATAAGTGGAACCCACTATCACTGTTATTATTATTATTGGCCTTTGAATGTGTGGTACTCAGCCCTGAATGGGGACCCTTCAGAGGGCAGTTTTCCTTACCTGCAAGGTGGGATGGCCTTTGCCGGCTTAGACATCCTATGGCACTACGTGCAGAGACCCTTTTTCATCAGGAGTGACTGGCCCCCTCTTGAAACCTCAGATTCCTAGGAAGGAGGGGGCTCAGGTGGAGAGAGAATGTGGTCAAGTTCTACACAGAGGGCAGTTCTCTCTGAATCTGGAGTCAGGTGTTTTCCTGCTGCACTCCCCCACCCCCTGGCTCCCCCACCCCTCCATCCCCCTCCCTACCCCTCCCTACCTCTGAGCCAGGCTTGTCTCCCTCATCCTCAGGATGGCCTCACCTTCTGCCCTGACTCAGAGCAACCACTTAGCTAGTGAGAGCGGACTCATTAGAGAAACAAACGGCTCTTTCCTGCGGCAGAGGGAGGATTAAGGTGATCAGAGGGCTCTCAGTAATGAAGACAAAGAAGATGAATTAGACTCTGAAGTGCTCACCGCCCCCTGAAACACTTAGGAGATTAAATGCCCGTGAGTCTTCCGGTAATGCTTCTGCCAGTGACGCCAGTGCTGTGCAGAGCCTCTTGGTCTCGGATCTGTATTTGTCCATCTCTATTTGAACATCTCAGGGAGAACCCCTCCATCATCCTAGCAAGCTGAGTCCACTGCATTTTTCTGACAGAAGCCTTGGTGGCCATGCCTGTCCTGTACCCACTCTGGGAGTGTGGACAGGGGTGAGGACAGCCTTGGGCCTGGGCTCTTCTAGCCCCATCTGCTAATCTAGGCGAGCTGGATGTGGTCAGCCACCCAGAAACTCTCCCTGCCTCACAAGTCATCTGTGTGGCCCGTGTTTTCATCCCCAGGAAGTATTTTCTAGGGTCATGCTGCCCAGGGAACCTGGCTACACGTGTAACAATAGGGTTAGGGGAAAAAGGCTGCTCACCTCTGCCCTGCCTGTGGAGTGGTGACAACCTTGGGTGAAAGGGATGTGCTTATCTTGTCCAACCCACAGCAGAGACTTCCACTGAGCATGACTTTACAGCCTTCAGAAAGTAATTACTTTCACAGAGGTGAAAGGTGATGGTGTATTCACTTCCCATGAAGACACATTGTCTGCTTGGCATTTTAGAATGTTCAGATTTTGTAGCATTTCTGAGACCTTTCTGTGACTACCAGGAGTCTATCAGAAATGCCAGTTACTAGCAATTACAATTTTGACTTACATTGCAAAAGCCCTCTATAGTTTATAAAGTCCTATCATACACATATATGGCATAGTAGGAACAGTATAGACTTTGGGTTCACACAGATCTGAGTGAATATCCTGATTCTGCCATTTCCTAGCTGTGTGACCTCAGACAAACTGCTTAACCTCTCTGAGCCACAATTCCCTCATCTGTGTAATAGGGATACTAATATTTCCTCCCTCCTTGTGTCATTATAGTGGTTAGATGGCATAATGCTCGCAAAATAGTTAGAATCCAAGTGGATACTCAATAATGAACGGGCCAGGGGTCTCTCTGCTGATTGGCAAAAAACAGAGGCCAATCCATCTGAGTTTTGATATTGATGCATTTGACCCTACACTGGCTCCAGCCATAGGAGCCCCTGTTGCAGGGGGACTGACCTATCCAGAAGGTGTGTATATTACTGAGCAAACACACAAGACAGGGTTGCTCTCAGCACTGGATCTTGTTGAAGTCAGTCCTTGCTTCCAAAGAAGAGGCCAAGTCTATAGCTGGCCTGGCAGTGGATGTGATTGCTTCAAGTTTTGGTCAGACAAGGGAGGGAGGGCACACTGTCTATGACCTACTTCCCACTGTGTGAGAGAGAGAGGGAGAGAGAGAGACAGAGAGAACATGTGACAGGACTATAAGCCACTAAGTGGAGCGATGCATTTACTTGCGTATGAACATACATGCATATATATATTCTGCCTATCTGGAGAGGCTTAGAGAAAACGAAGATCACAACACCCAGGCCTGATCTGCTCCAGAAACCCCTCCCTACGCAGCCAAGGGAAAACCACGCCCACAGACAGTGGTCTGGCGTCTACACTCTCTCTAGTACTGTGAGACTGACACCCCATCTAGCAATTAAAGAATAATTCCAATTACAGTTCTATGAACTCTTGGCTTTTTGTCCTAATTTCCACACAGCGTAAAAGCAATCATAACTTTTCATTAAATGTATGCGAGATTTTCTGTATTGTAAGTACTATCAGATCAGAGCTCCTGTCTCTGTTTGGGTATCCCAGGTACTCCTTACTTGTCTTTTTTTTTTAATTGAAGTATAGTTGATTTGCAATGTTGTGTTAGTTTCTGGTGTACAGTATAGTGACTCAGTTATTTATATGTATATATATAATCTGTGCTACACAGTAGGATGTTGTTTATCTATTTATATAAGCTTTTCAGTGGTATGGTCTTCAGTGTTCATGACATAGCAAAGGAAAGGGGCAAGGGTAGGGTCAGCGTGTGATCAGGGCTGACTGCTGAGACATTGTAAAGGATGCAGACGAGCCTGAGGTTAGTTTGTGAAAAGTAAGCCTTTACAGAGTAAACCTTCTCGTCTACATATATACTGACACCAGAAGGCTTTGCTGACTTCCTTCTTACCACACAAGGGCATTTCTTTTTGAACCAGTGATATGAGATTTCCTGTTACTTTGGTTCCATTTGCTATTCGCCTCAGTTTTCCTAAGGTCTTTGGGAAGTCAGAGGAAAAATGATTTTAAAATGCCACAGTTGGTTGGGTTCTCCCCTGGGAAAGGCTCCTCCCGCTCTGGGACCTTGCCTCTGTTGGAAGGGATCTCACATTGGCCACACATCTTGACAACACGAGGTGTTGCACTGGTAAGTACTTGACACAGTCTTTCAAGGCCAGGGTCCCTTTCAGGCTCTGTTGCCTGGGGGCAGAGTACATTCATTTTATAACACATACTCTCGGTGCTCGACAAAACATTAAGTCATGTAATGCTCGCAACAGTCTTATGAATTACCTTTAACTTCTGTAGAGGGCCAGCTAATGGCTCCGCCAAAGATGCCCGTGTCCTAATCCCTCAAACCTGTGAATAGGCTAACTTACATGACAAAAGGGATGTTTTTCAGATGTGATTAAATTAAAGATCATGGTACAGGGTTATTATCCTGGATTAGACATGTGGACCCAATGTAACCAGAGCGATTCTTATAAGTAGGAGGCAGACTGCTCAGAGTCAGAGGGTGAGATGTGATTAAGGAAGCAGCAGTCAGAGCGATGGTGGTGGGGGTGGCAGGAGCCAAGGAGTGTGAGCAGCTTCTAGAAACTGGAAAAGGCAAGGACGTGGACTCTCCCCTCGAGCCCCTAGAAGGAATGCAGCTCTGTCAATGCCTTGATTTTAGCTCTATAAGACTCATTGTGGACTTCTGACCTCCAGCACTGCAGGATAAAATGGTGTGGTTTTAAACCACTGAGTTTGTGGTAATTTGTTTTAGCAGCAACAGAAAACTAATATACCTTCATTAACCAGGGCACAGAAAGGTTGAGTACCACGGCCAAGATCCGATGGAAAATAAATGATAGGCTGGTCCTTGCACTTAGCCATTCCTCTACCCTGCCTCTTCCCTAGGGCCTCTCCTAAGGCTGATACCCTCTGTATTCACTAAATAACTACAGAGGGATTAGTACCCTCTCACTCAGGAGGAACAGAACTTGATTAAAAATCATCAGACAGGAATGAACTCACCTGGACCAGGGGAAAACTGTGCACCTGGCTCCTGTACTCTGTCCCCTGACAGCATTGCTAGCTTGTAGCTAACAAGGTAAGCCAGTTGTCCCTAAAACCCCAGGCCCAGGTCTGACTGAGGAGCAACGTTGATCTCCCCTTCCCTCTACATCATGATACACACAAGGATGTTTCAAAAGGGGGACTCAAAGCAGGGCATAATTGGCATTTATTCAAATTGTGCCTAATTGAATACTTCATCTGTACCTCAGAAGACCACATGGGGTACAGGTTCTGTAAAGAGGAAGTAATTTTCATTAACAGGATCTAAATTAGTCTGACACAAAGACCTACCTGTGCCTGTGGCACAGCTAGTAATTGTGTAATGAACTTGATGTTGCAAAGATTTCCTTTTTTATTTTGCCTTTCCTTCCTTCGTTCCTTCCTTCCTTCCTTCTTTTCTTCTCTCTTTCCTTCCTTCTCTTTTCATTTTGTATGTCAAGCAGGCGTCTTTATTCAGAGGCTGGGCTGGTGATGGTTGGAGGGGAGTGGCCCCTGTGCTCACAGCCCGGAGAAGACCAAATAAACTGCAGCCTGACAGAGTCTTGGCCTTGTGTCTCCTTCCTCGTAAGACTCTGTCCTTTATGCCCCTTGAGAACATTCTGTATTTTGACTGCTTCTTCACACTCATATTTTTCTTCTAACTCCTTCCACTCAGCCCTAAACACTCACAATCCTAAAACAGAGGGGAGAAAAGAGCTTCTAAGGGCTAAACCTCTTTCTAAAATGCAAATAGGAGCTTGTCACTCCCCTCATAAAACACCTGGTGGTACAGAGTGGCCTTTAGGATGAAGCCTTGAGGGTATCTCCTGTCCCTCCCCTGCCCAGCCACCCTATCACGCTCACCCGCCCAGCCCTGGGCCAGGTCTGAACTGGAAAGGACAGCAGCCCAAGAGGGCATGTCCCTTTCCAGCATGTGTTTAGTGGGGAAGGGAGGAGATGAATAATGTGGCAAACTTTTTTCCTTTCTATTTAAAAGAAGAGATTTTTTGTGTGTATTTATTATCCAGCATAATATACCAGTATTGAACAAACTAAAATCTAGAAAATACACTCTGTTGGTAAACATCACATTGCTGTGTATGATTTAGCTGCCTGACCTGTCCTCAGGGGACTGTCATCTGCTGACTGAGGTCGGGGCATGGCCTAGGGTTCTAAAGTGTGACAGGCTTTGAAGGAGCCTTTCAAGAGAGAAACCTGCACCACGGAAAAGTGTTATTTTATTTTAATTTCTCTTAATTACCACTTGAGAGTGCTGTCCACTTCCAAGAAAGTGGGTGGATTTTCATTTTGCTAAAATGTGTGTCAGGAGCAGTGTCACAGGTGTCATCTGGGTTCACAGGGGCCACATTTCCAATATATCCCTTGGTGTTTGGCACCCTGAAGAACTGAAGGTCTGCAGCAGGTCCCTTGCTGGCTCATTCCTTAATCTAGTTTTATGCTGTGAGTTTTCGGTGCAACCTTGACTATGCCAGGGGGTGGGGAAGGGGTGGCCTCTTGGCTGCCAGCCCACGAGATTGTAGCCATGGCTCACTGTCCACCTGATGTCACCACCCCTTTCCTGCAGGCAGAGCCCCTCAGTGATGACTGATACGTGAGGCCTGTGGGCCACAGACCTCTGAGTACAGCTGAGCATGAACTCTCATCAGATTCCACATCAGACCTGAAGCCTGCAGAGTGATGCTGCCTTTAGTTTCCTCGTCGTGATCTCTCTCTTAACCTTAGTCTCCATTCATTTCAGGTTGAAAGTAGGTGGGGTTCAGTATCAGGCAAGGAGCTGGGATGGAGGGGGTCTAATCCAGGGCAGGGGCTAGCCAGAAATCTGCCAGTTCTGTCTGCTTTTCAGGGCCTGAGGCCAAAGGGACCCTGTAGAAAGATGATGGAGGCTCCACCTTCCCCCAGGTGACTCTGTTCTCTCCAATGGTGTCCTGAGGCCTCTGGGGGCCATCCCAGGGCTACGTGCTGATGAATGGGCATCAGTCACTGGGAAAGCACATCTGGGTGGCAGAAGCCCATAAGGATGGAAGAAAATACCATGGAAGGATGGGCCAGATGGACTGTAAGGAGTCATGGGCTACAGGAAAACTTAATAGCCCCTGGCTCACCTGTCTGTACAAAGTACCTTTTGGCTCAGGTGTGCCCATTTTCTTAGCCTCTCAATTCTCTTTTCCAGATCGTGACCATCTTGGCAAACATGTCTGTCCTAGAGCAGTGTGCCTCTGACATCATTCAGGAGAACGGTATGTCTTTGTGTTTGTGTAAAGGCCCATGTGTAGGCACGGACATTTGTGCACGTGGGTCTCCACACTTGCATGAGCACGTGTGTGTGCTTATGTGGGCAACTGGGTCAATATGTAAATATTTGCTTCTGTGGGGCTTCAATGCTAGTGGGAGGCAGACACTGAAAAAGATTTAGAATGTCAGGTGCAAAAAATAAAGCAAGGAAGGAGATAAGGTGAATTCGAGGTAGAAGTGTGGCAGTTTACTATTTTAACTAGGGAGATGAAGAGAAGACAGAGATTTCATTATGATTCTAAAAGCAAAAGTCTATTCCTACAAAGGATATGTTCCAACTTTAAACCATTCCCATCACATTGGATTTGGCCTCAGGAGAAAGTGGAAGTGCCTGGGAAGGGAGCAGGGTAGGGGAGCAGGTCAGGGCCAGCTGGATCCCTTGATGCCTTGCCTGAGAGCATCTCTTTCCTCCTGTTCCCACCTTGTGCTGAGGGCATCACTAGGGTCCAGGTGAGATGGGCCAGGTTTCATTGGCCTGGAAGTTAATCATAGCAGCCTCCACTGGGGGACAGGTTGGTTGCCTTGCAGCTGGGAATGAAATGGCAAGGGCTTCCCATGACTGAGAAATAAGGGAGCAATTAGTAAGGTTGGAAACCAAAGATGCTAATGTGAGTGAGCTGGGAGCCTGGGCAGCTGCCTCTGCTCTTGTTAAGCCCCCTTCTCCCAGGTTGCTCTGCTGCTCTAACAGACATACATATTCCCTACCTCCCATTGCTCTATTAGTAATCGAATGACATCATTTTGTGTTAATTTTATGTCATTGGGCTAATAATGAAAAACTTTACTGAGCCAGCTGAGACTGAGAGGCTGAGGGGTATCATTTGGGATCTATTCCTTCAGCGCCCAGAGCCTTTGCTTCAGGTGGTCAGTGGGAGTGTTTTAGAGGATCCTGCATTTACTGTGTGTTCAGCAGAGCACCAGGTATGCAGTCAAAGCTCAGTAATAGCATGAAAAAAATTTAAAAGGATGTCCTCCAGATGTTCCTTCCAAGTGGAGTGACTTGGTACGTGGAATCAGAGACACCCCCAGGGCAGAAGGAGTGGGAAAGGTGGGCTTGCCCAGGTTCCTCCTGTGGTGGAGACCCCCGAGTCATCCTGACAGCCTTTGCCTGAGCCTGTGGCCATCCAACCAGCTGGCCCCAGAGGACATCTCCCTGCTGGCGTGGCACCAGCTCTTCATCGCTTTCCACCCAGGGGTCCAGCTTATCCTGGGCATGCTATCTGAGAAGCCAAGGTCTGGGACCCCCGCCGAGGTGGCAGCCTGCGAGCGAGTCCAGCAGAAGGCTGCGGTGACCCTGGCCCGTCTCAGCCGAGACCCAGATGTAGCACGTGAGGCCGTGCGGCTGAGCTGTAAGTGGTGCTGGTGGTGGCAGGGAGTGGGGGACCTGGGATGGGAGCAGCTGTGATTTCATGATGGCCGTGGTGATGGAGGACTCAGCAGGGCTGGCTGTGCTGGGAAATGCTGGCATGGGAGCCCGTGGCGCAGCCCCGACTTAGCTTCCTTTCACCTGGGGCTGAAGTGAGAGAGAGGAGACGAGAGAGGTTTAAGTTGGCCAGAAGGGTGACTCTTCTGCCAGCTTCCTGTTAATGAGGACCCTGTTCCTTCACTTACTCATTCATTTCTTCACTTATTCACTTATCCGCTTACTCATGTGCTTCCTTATTCACTCATTTGTTCATACATTCATTAATTCATCCTTTGGTTTATTCCTTCATTAACTCATTTATTGCTTCATTTATCCACCATTAAGTCATTTATTAATTCACTCATTAAATCACTCATTTATTCAGTTAGTCACTTATTTACCCAACAAATGTTTTCAGAGCACCCACTCTTTGCTAGGCTAGGTGTTCTGCTAGGTGTTCTGAGTGCTGGGCATATAACACTGATTATAGCAGCGTCCTGACCACAGCGGCTTACAGCCTAAGGGTGGTGGCAGCAATGGAAAGAAAAAATTGCGCTTGAATATCACAGAGCGACACTCAAAGCATGTCCAGCATACAGAGAAGTAGCCCTCGTTTATCTGGGTGGGTCAGAGAATGTTTAACAAGGAGGAGACTCTTCAGCTGTGGTTTGAGGTGTTATTTGGGTATGAGGGCCAAGGAAGGACACCGGGTCGAGGCAGGAGAATAAGCCTGGCAGTGTCACCGACCATCCAGGCATTTGGAGGGCAGCAGGGGGTGGTCCGGGGGCAGCAGAGGTTCCGCTTCATAATGCCTTCATGGTGGATAAACATACAGACTCTGTCTGCACATCTTTTATTACTATTTTATAATGAGTTTTTTTCCTCCATTGTGGTTGTTTTCAGAGTTTAAAAAAGAGTCAGTCTGCATGGAAAAACAAAGTCGTTTATTTCACTTTCCACTGAAAAGGCTTAGGAAACATTCATCTACCCAAACTGTAGTCTTCCACAATTTTAGCTACAATATATTTTCTGACCCATAATGGGCAATTGAGGGAAAAAAAGGTACTGGGAAGTTCCCCTGATAAAGATGTAAATATTAAATGTAGCACTGAATTAACATTGGAGGTGCCTGCACAGGAAGTTCTCTCTGTCCTGCAGCTGAGCTCCGTCCTGGCCAGGGTTCTGGCACTCAGAGGTTTGGCTTTGATGCTCTGGCTCATCCTGGCCCTGACCAGGGTCTGTTCACAGCTGAGAGAGCAGAAAGTCTCCCCCACAAACTCCTCAGTGGAGGTGGGGGAGTTCAGCCCCTTCCCCTGCCAACTGTTGGCCACCTGTCTCCACGGGGCCCCATGCAGAGGGCTGAGTGTGACAGACGGGGGCACCTCTGGGTCAGGCCCAGCCAGCCCCATCCCAACCCCCGTGTCTCACGCAGGTATGTCCCGCCTCATCGAACTCTGCCGCTCGCCCTCAGAGAGGAACAGCAGTGATGCGGTGCTGGTGGCCTGCCTGGTGAGTTCTCAGTCCTGCCTCAGCTGCCTTCCTGGGCTTTGGGGTTGCAGACCAGGGGCCAGGAGAACAGGCTGTGTCATGGTGGGCTTGGGTAAGCCAGGCAACTTCTCTGGGTTTCCGCTGTTCTCTTTAAAGTGGTGATAAGAGTAATACTTGTTTCCCTTTATTCACAAAATTATGATGAAAATTAAATGAGGTCATATGTATGAAAGGCAGAGGTCCAGGGAACCCCCATTACCACATTTTTAGTAACTTTTGAGGTTCTGGGGGATCTTCACGGCAGGTCAAGACCAGAGTGGCCAGCTGGCAGGAGGCTGGGTGATGTTAGTGATGGCGTGGGAGCTAGGCTGTGATGTCTTCTGCCTGTCTTCTTCTGTGAGAAAGCTTTCCCTCCTTGGATGGAGCACCTCTGCTGGTGCTCTTCCAGCTTTGTCACTCCCTCCTCCTTTGTGCAGTAGGAGAGGACAGGACAGGTAGTATTCAGCCAGCCCCCAGGATCGTCACCCTGAACCTAGCACATCCCGGGAGGTCCCCACCCAACTTCTTGATGCTTGAGTCCACTGTGGAAGTACTGAAAGCACCAGAGGGGAATGCAGGCCTTGTTTCTATACCTCTCCCTACTGGGTTGTACCACAGCCCAAAGCAGGGCAGCTTCCAGTTAGGAGCATGGAGGAGCAGGAGAGCCACTGTACAGACAGGCCATCTGACTTCCAGAGGCGGTGCCAGGTCCTGATGGATCCTCAAGGACCATGAGGGAGAAGCGATAGAACTAGAGGGCCTTCAAGCTGTTTCACCATAAAGCCCCTCCTCACCCTGTCCTTTTTCTGAAAACTGAGCTCATCCCATTTCTGGGCACTCCTGACGGGTGTTGTGCGGTGGTGGAAACAGCACGCCTTACAGCCAGACCCACCTGTCTTGGTTTTGCCATTAATGAGCTGCATGCCATTAGGCTGGCCACTAAGTGCTGTAAATTGTATTCAATGAATATTTGCTCAGTGATTCCACGGGCCATGTACTCTTCTAAGCTTTGGGGATACAACCGTGGGGAAAAAAGACAAAAATCTCGGCTCTGTTGGGGCTTTTGTTCTGCTACATGCAGAACAACTTTCACCATTTTTCTGTGTTTGGCAATCTGGTGAGGCTATGGACCCCTTCTCAGTATTAGGTTTTAAATGTACAAAATAAAATATGCAAAATTAGAAGGGAAACAATCATATTAAAATAATTATTAGACTATTTAAACAAATGGTGTGTGTGTGTGTGTATATATATATACACACACATACTTTTAAATTAACACATTAAATGAGAGCTAGCAAGGAGTCTTGACTAGCGATGAGCATAAGTGATATTTGACGGAACTCCAAAAGCTGTAATGGGATGTGAAAGTGTCTGATATCTATGGACGAGCAAGTAGTAGGCATCGCTGAGACTTCCTGTTTTGTTGCTACATTTGTAACCGAGGACAGGGTGTTTCAAGGGCAGTAAATATAAAGATGTATTTTTAACCCTGGAAGTTCACAGACCTTAATTCCATCTGGTCTAGTGAGTAAAATGGAGGGAGTTAATTCCTGGCAAATACATAATCATTGACCCCAACGACCGTATCGTCACAACGCGGGCAGCCAGCAGCTGCGCGTCACTAAAGAGGCCTGAGGAAGTGCTGAGAAACGATGAAACTCCATTCAGATGTGCGGGCTTGTTATGATTCCTTTTCCATTTTTATTATTAGTTTGAAGGCAAGCATACAGAAGGGCTTGGCCTCTGTCTTCAATCACTTGAAGGACTTACCGGTAGAAAAGAGATTAAATTTCTCCTTGTGGAAGGGTTGTTGGAGGCCGAAGAGAGGCCCTCCCTCCCGAACCCATTCTTCGTGGGGCTGCCGGGCTGACTCTCCTCAGGACAGCTTGCAATCATGACCCATCCGTAAGCCATCCTTCCCTGGTTCCCCTTGCTGATGACCCCACGTGCTCAGTCCTTCACAGCCTGGCTCTGACCCAGCTGCGGTCTGAAGGCTTCCCACTGCCTCCAGGCCCTGTCCTGCTGGGCTCGGTCAGAGGGCTTGAGCCGCCTGGACACTGTGCCTTGGCCCTTGTTGCAAGCAAATGCCCTCTCAATACCTCGATCAGCACCTCCTTCAAGGCTCAGATCAAAATCCCTCTCCTCCCTGAGGCTTCCTGGGAGCTCTCTGTGGCCCAGAGACAGGGAGTCCTCAGTCTGAACCCGGGCCTGCCTGCTTGGACTTTGTTTTCCCCGTAGGAGGCAGCTTGTGTTATCCTGCGTTCTAGGTGTTTTAAGGGGAGGCTCTTGGAATTCAGACACACGCCTGCTAATGCTGCAGGTCTTGACTTCTTGACCAGACCAGCCTGTTTCCAGCCATGCTTTCTTGCTGCCACATCTTGTGGCTCTGGTCGTGCTACCTTGGCTCATGGGAGAGGATCTGTATTTCTCCTCCTCTACCCTGAAACTTCCTCTGGGTCTTGTATCTCCCTAGGACCTTGGTGACTGTTTCTTGCCTCACTGAGGGACTGATAGACTTGTCTCCTTGCCCCCAGTCATCAGTGTTGGTGGGTGTTTGTGGTTTGGCTCCCAGAGGGGGCTTCACACTTGAGTGCGGCCCCCTGGCTGGTGAGGTGGGAGCCGCTTGGAGCCTGGGCTGGTGACGGAGTTGGAGGCTCCCTCTCCTGCCCCTCCCCAATCCTTCTTCCTGGTTTCAAAGGCTCTCTTCAGGTGGCGGGAGGACATTTCAATTATCATCTCCCAGTCTGGGAAAGTGGCAGCGCGGACTGCCTCTCACAAACGGAATTGATTTTTCCTTAATGAAGCAGCTGTCAGTGGGCCGCGGGGCTTGTTTAGTACTTGGGTGTTTGCAGACTGTCTGGGAATGAGATCCTGGCAAGACTGGCTGTTAACCCTCTGAGGAAAGCAGAGGCCAAGAAAAAGGCTTCAGAAGGGTGAAGGTTCCTTTGAGCCCCTGGATTCTGAGGAGAGGGTGCCCTGAAATCATTTGGTTCATGTCCTGCATACTTTCTGGGGACCCTGGGGAGATGAGGGTATCCATTTGCCTGTGTGTGTGTGCGGGTTTTTTCCCCCTCTGTTTCTAGTTCTCTCTCTTGTGTTTTGTTTTTGCTTTTCTCCTTCTAGAGGTTGCCTCCTCCCTTAGGGGTGTCTCTCTCTCCTTCTCTCCCCTCCCCCTTCTTTTTACCCACCTCAGTCCTCCTTCCCTTCCTCTACTCCCTCCTCATCTCCAACCTCCCTCCTGTTACCTCCAGCATGTGCTCGCTCTTGCTCGGACACTGTCTCTTTCTCTCTCCAGCTCCCTGTCCTGCTTGGTCTCTCTTCTTCCCCAGGTCCACCCCTGCCTCTGTTTTAATAGTTCCTTCTTGTTCTGTTCTTCTGATGTTGTCTCTTTTCTCTCTCTCTGCTATTTTCTTATTCTATCTCATTTTCTCTTTTCATGGCTCTATTTTCATGGGTCTATTTTCTACCTATTTCTTTGTCTCTCTTTTTCCTTTCCTCCCTCTTGCTTTATATTTACCCCTGATAATGTAAAATACATTGATGGGCTCATATTCTCCCATCTGATAAGGATCCCTGGTTCCATTTTTACTGTGACAGCTCAATAGGGTTGTTTCTCCCCGTTGGAGCCAAGAGGAATCAGAAAGTACAATGGAGTTCAGCCTTTAACTCTTGGGGAAATCATACCCCAGGAGAGGCAGGACACAGTAGTTAGAGACAGGCTCCTGGAGCCTCCTTCCTGCCATGAGAGTCTCAGACCTTGTTCATGTGCCAGAGATGCACGTCCCTTCTCCTTGATCTAGCTTGGACATGGCAGTGCCTGTTAGTCCAGCAAACAACTTAAGCCATCTTCCTTTTTCACCAACTTGGCAATTTCTCAGCAGTAGGTCACCTCTCATGTCTAGGTACTGAGCTATATGGCTGCCTTGTACTCAACATAACCAAGTATTCTGGGCTTTCAGCATCCTGCCTGTGTGTGGATAGGTATGAGGACCCTAGAGTTGGACTGTTGTGTGATCTTGGGAAGGCCACGTTCCCTCTCTGAGCCTTAGTCTACTTATTTCTGAGTTGAAGATCATAATACTTACCTTGCCGTATCCTGTAGGGATGAAATGAGATACTATGTATAGATACTCAGGAAGAGTTGGCATTCCTCCTTCTTTGCTTCTTCTGCCATGCTGGATCTTCCTCTCTTTGTTTCCCAGGGGAGGGGCATCCTTAAGATCCCACCTTGTTCCCTGCTGTGTACAGGCTAGAAAAGAGGGAAGGAATAAATATTCACTGAGTGCTTAGCATGCACTGCCTCAGTGCTCTAGGTAAGTGCACAGCTCACTTTTAGTTTCAGGTTACTCTAGCAGGAGAACCCCTAAGCACTTCATTTGTTCTTTTTTTTCTTTCCAACAAACATTTATTGGGTCCTGTGCTAAGCCCTGTTCTACCTGCTGTGGAGACAGAGAAAAATAAAAGTCTCTACCCTTGGGGAGCTCAGAGTCTCGTGTGGGAGACAGAAGAGGGAGATGGTTGAGGTCAGCCCAGGGAGAGACTGTCTCTGCTTCACGGGATTAGGGAAGGCTTCACAGAGGAGGTGACAGTGGGCCAGGCCTTGTAGGATGAATGTAACTGCTGAAAGAGTGGGGAGGGGCTTCACAGCATGGGGAAGAGCTGAGCAAGGGTACAAGGACGGAAAACAGGATAGTGGACTCAGGAAAGAGTTTAACCCTCAGTGTCTGGGGACATGGGCAGTGGTTTCATTCTGTCTGAACCTCTTTCCTCTTCATCCACATCTTGGTGGCAGAATTTCCATCTCCTTTAACTTTATGACCTTCCTTCCTCTCTCTCTTTTCCCTCCTTCCCATCCCAAAATTGCTTCACTCAAAACCTTGTTGAATTTATGGATAAATTAAAAGTCCTTGCTGTTCTCAGGTTCCTCTAGGGACCTGGAAGCAAGAATATAATTCCACTGATGCTTTTGGCAGTTCAAGTCTCTAGGATAAACAAATTGTGAACTTAAATATGTCACTGAATTGACCCGATCCTTAAAATAATAGATCTTTAGAACAACCAGTTTCCTAAGATGTCTGAAAAACCAAGATGGCAAGACCATTATTAAGATCATGAAGACTTTCAGATGATATCCACCACAGTGACCAAGCTACAAATGAAACCTGGTGACCACATGATAAGGTTGCTATGGTGACCAGGTGACCAAAAGGACCAGATCACTAAAGTGTCAAGGTGATGATCAGCCCAAGTTGGCTGGTAAATGAGCCACCTTCTGAAATACATCTCTCAGGGCAGTTGAGGGAAATACTTACACATAAACAGGGCCCAATCTGATTTCTTCTGTTCTCTCCCCAGGCTGCTCTGCGGAGATTGGCCGGGGTCTGCCCTGAAGGCCTCCAGGACTCTGACTTCCAGCAGCTGGTTCAGCCCCGGCTTGTGGACTCTTTTTTACTTTGCAGCAACATGGAGGAGAGTTTTGTGTAGCAAGTGTGGGAGAGGAAAGGCTTTCGGCCTCCTTCTCAACCCCCTGGTATATACCTGTGAATACACCTGCCTACACTCCAGCCCCCTCACCTCCCTATTTATACTTAATTTATTTTTTACGTGAAATGAACAGAAGGCTAAATATTCTAGCAACATCATCAGGTCCTTGGGAGTCTTTTTTGTTTTTATTTTTTGACTTCTGTGACTTTTCAGTTGCAGGTGTTGAAATGCATAATGGCTGACATGACAGGTTGTCATGGCGATTTCACTTCATCTTGCTTTCTCTACTCTCACTATACAATCTTGCCTAATTTTTTAAAAAACTTGAGAACCAGAGTATTTTAGCTGCCCTGCAGTTTTTTTTTGTTAAAGTTGGATTTGCTCTTTCTAAAAATTTTTAAATGAACTTCATAGTTGGACAGAATATACTAGAAGGATATTCTAGTTTTATTCTTTAATAAATAAAATCATATAAAATGTGTCTTGGATTCTCTGATTAAATTATGTCGTGGACTAACTTCTCACTTCCCAAGGTTTCATGCCATAAAAACTTTCTCAGCTATTAAAAGTGCATAGAAAGTTTTATTGCTTTCATAGCTGCATAAATGGATCAGGTTCTGAGTGATTTACGGAGAAATCAAAAGATTTCCAAAGCCTTAGGAACTCAGTTTCCCTTCGCTTGCTCTACTGTAAACTCATGGTAAATGGTATCCTCAGATGAAGCTTTAGTGAAAAATACCTATTAAAAGTATACTTGAAAGTAATGGGGTGCTGGAGCTGGCTTATGTCAACTCACAACGGACAGCTGTGAGGATTTCTTCTCAACTCCACATTCAATGATCCCATTTGGTAACTTGTAGTTGGCAATAGTGACAGTATTTGCACCACAGAAATTGGCAGATGCTACAAATCAGAGCCTTTGTGTTTTTTTCAGAGAGCTTATTTACCAATATTATTGCTTAGAAGTATCATAAAAATCTGTGAATCTTTCTGAAGAATTTAATACCATCATATTATATGATTTTATCACAATTCAAGAAATATTTAATTCCATAACATCAAGAGACTAAAAGAGAAAAAATTATATGATCACATCAATAGATGCAGAAAAAGCATTTCACAAAATACAAGAGTTCATGATAAAAACTCTCAGTAAACTAGGAATAAAGGAAAATTTCCTCAACTTGTTAAAAATATCTATGAAAAACCTATATAGCTCACATCATACTTGAAGTTTTCCTACTAAGAAACACAGAGCTTTCACAAAAGATCAGGAACAATCAAAGATGTCTCCTCTCATCACTTCTTTTCAACATTGTACTGGAGATTCCAGCTAATGCAGTATAAGAAAAGGAAATAAGAGATATACAGATTGGGAAGAAAGAAATAAAACTGTTTTGTTCACAGATGACATGCTCATTGATGTAGAAAATCTGAAATAATTGACCAAAAAAAAAATCCCTATTGGAACTAATAATCAATTATAGCAAAGTTGCAGGATACCAAGTTTATATGCAAAAGTCAACTGCTTTCTTGTAAACCAACAATGAACAAGGGGAATTTGAAATTAAAAATACATTATTGTTCATTAGCACCATCCCCCAATGAAATAGTTAGGTATAAATCTAACAAAATATATACAAGGTCTGTATAAGGAAAACTAAAACATTCTAATGAATAAAATAAAGGAAGAACTAAATAAATGGAGAGATATTTCATGTTCATGCATAGGGAGACTCAATATTGTCAAAATGTCAGTCGTTCCCAAAATTATAGATTCAGTGCAATCCCACTCAAAACCCCAGCAAGCTATTTTGTAGATATCAACAAACTGATTCTAAAGCTTACACAGGAGGCAAAAGAGTGAAAATAGTCAACACAATATTGAAGGAGAAGGACAAAGTTGGAAGACTGACATTGCTTGACTTCAAGACTTACTATAAAGCTACAGTAATCAAGACAGTGTAGTGTTGGTGAAAGAAAAATAGATGAATGGAACAGAATAGAGAGCCCAGAAATAAAAGCATGCCCCCCGCCCCATAAGTGTAGTCTATTGATCTTTGACAAGGAGCAAAGGTAATACAATGGAACAAAGGTAGTGTCTGCAACAAAAAAAAAAAAAAAAAAAGAAAGAAAGAAAAAAGAAAAAGAATCTAGATACAGATCTTACAACTTTCACAAAAATTAACTCAACATGGATCACAGACCTAAGTGTAAAACTCAAAATATAAAACTCCTCAAAGCTAACATGGGAGAAAATCTAGAAGACCTTGGATATGACAATGACTTTTTAGATGTAACACCAAAGCTGCGATTCATGAAAGAAATAATTGAAGAGCTGGACTTCATTAAAATTACAAATTTCTGGCCTGCAAAAGACAATGTCAAGAGAACGAGCAGATAAACCACACACTGGGAGAAAATTGATTTTGCAAAAGACACTTCTGGTAAAGGCTTGTTCTCAAAAATATACATATAACTCTTAAAACTCAACAGTAAGACAAACAATTTTAAAAATGGACCAAAGATGTTAATAGATACCTCACTAAGGAAGATATACAGATGAAAAATGAGCATATATAGGTGCTCAATATCATATGTCATCAGGGAAATGCAAATTAAAACAATAATGAAACACTACTACAAACTTATCAGAATGGCTCAAATCTAAAACACTGACATCAAATACTGGTGAGGATGTGGGACAACAGGAATTCTCATTCATTGCTGGTGGGAATGAAAACTGTATCAGCCACTTTAGAAGACAGTTTGTGGGTTTCTTACAAAACTGAACATATTCTTACTATACAAAAGAGCAATTGTGCTCACTGGTATTTACCCAAAGGAGATGATAAATTATGTCCACACAAAATCCTGCACGTGGATGATTCTAGCAACTTTATTTATAATTGTCAAAACTTGGAAGAAGCCAAGGTGTCCTTCAGTAGATGAATAGAAAAATAAACTGTGGTACATCCAGACGATGGAATATTATTCAATGCTAAGAAGAAAGGATCTATTAAGGTGTAAAAAGACATGGAGAAAACTTAAGTGCTTATTACTAAGTGAAAGAAGCCAATCTGGAAAGTCTCCATACTGTATAATTCCAGCTATATGATATCCTGCAAAAGGCTAAACTATGGAGACAGTAAAAAAAAAAAACAGTGGTTGTAGGAGTTGGGATGAGGAGGGAAGAATAGGGAGAGCACAGAGAATTTTTAGAGCAGTGGAAACTCTATGACACTATAATGATAACGACACATCATTATGCATTTGTCCAAACCAATAGCATGTACAAAATCAAGAATGAACTGTAATGTAAACTATGGAGTTTGGGAGATTATAATGTGTCGATGTAGGTTCATTGATTATAACAAGTGTTCCACTCTGGTGGGAGATGTTGATAATGGAGCATGCTATGCATGAATGGGGGCACAAGGTATATGGGAAATCTCTGTGCCTTCACCTAAATTTTACTGTGAACCTTAACAATAAAAAGTCTTAACAACAACAACAACAACAACAACAATAATAATAGAATTGAGCAAGATATATTCAAAGTCATGAAAGAGAGAAAAATCTACAACCTAGGATATTCTACCCAGAGAGATTATCATTTAGAATAGAAGGAGAGAAAGAATTTCTCAGATAAGCAAAAATTAAAAGAATACAGCAACACACAACCTATCTTAAAAGAAACATTGGAAGGTCTTCTCTAAATAGAAAAGAAATAAGAATGTATAGAAAAGAGAAAAATCACAGTGGGAAATGCAATGATAACTACAATGAACAGCAAAAGAATAAACATGAAGATGTAAGTGAGGACATTAAAATCATAAAATGTGGGGGAGAGGGGTAAGAAAAATGCACATGTTTTTTAAGAATGTGTTTGAGTCTGTATGATAACCAATCTAAAACAAGGAGATAAGTAATGGGTTAATATACTTGAAAAATAGGGTAACCACAAATCGAAAACATAGAGTCACAAAAACCGAAAAAGAAAAGAACTCAAGCATAATACAAAAGAAAATCATCAAAACACAAAAGGAAAAACAAAAAGAAAAAGGAAGGAAGAAGAAATACAAAATCAACTGGAAAACAAGGTTTGAAATGGTAGTACCCACACACCCATCAATAATTATCTTAAATGTCAATGGACTAAATGCTCCAATCAAAAGACAGAGTGGCAGACTGGATAATAAAACAAGAGCACACAATATGTTTCCTACAAAAGACCCACTTTAGGGTGAAGGACACACAGAGATGGAAAGTGAGAGGATGGAAAAAGATTATTTCACACAAATGGAAATGACAAGAAAGTAAGGGTAGCAATACTCATATCAGACAAAATAGACTTTAAAACAAAGGCTATAAAGAAAGATAAAGGACACATATAATGATAAAATGAGCAATATAAGAAGAGGATATTACATGCATTAACATATACGCACCCAATATAGAACACTTAAATACGTAAAACAAACACTAACAGACGTAAATGGAGAAATTGATGACAATACAATAAAAGTAGGAGATTTTAACACCCCACTAAAATCAATGGACAGATCTTCCAGACAGAAAATCAATAAGGCAACAGAGATATTAAGTGACACAATAAAACAGTTAGATTTAACTGATATTTTTAGAACATTATATCCATTTTAGAAACAGTATATACATTATTTTCAAGTATGTATGGAACACTCTCTAAGATAGACCACCTGACCAAGGAAGTGAAGCCTTATATGCAGAGAACTACAAAACATTGATGGTGTATATCAATTAAGTATATATCATTGTGGTATATATATATATATAAAATGAAATACTACTCAGCCATAAAAAGAATAAAATAATGTCATTTGCAGCAACTTGAATGGACCTAGAGATTGTCATACTAAGTGAAGTAAGTCAGACAGAGAAAGAAAAGGACCATATGACATCACTTACACGAGGAGTCCTAAAAAAATGGACACAAATGAACTTCCTTAACAATACAAAGACAGACTTACAGACATAGTAAACAAACTTGTAGGTACTGGGAGTGGGGAGCGGAGGGATAAATTGGGAGTTCGGGATTTGCAGATACTAACTACATTGTGTATAAGATAGATTAAATAGCAAGGTCCCACAGGGAATTATATTAAATATCTTGTAATAGCCTATAATGAATAAGAAAAGGAAAACATATATATGTATAACTGAATCACTATGCTGCACACCAGAAATTAACACATTATAAACCAACTACATGTCAATGAAAAAAATGATATGAAATTATAAGTTAGAAATATGTTAGAAATATGCATAATAGGTGATTTACTAGCACTAAATATGCGGCGGAACATTCACCATCATTTTTGTTTTAAATGAAGATTTGCAAATGAAGATTATCAAAGTGACAATTCAGTTTTTTCAGTTAGAAAAATAAAAAAATCAAAATCCAATGGAGAGACAACCATATAACTGATAGATTT